CCCCCCCCCCCCCCGACCGGCGTCCGGCCCCGACAGGCGGCTATCGATCACTACCACGAGGAGATCGACCTCCTTCTCGCGGGAGGCATCGTGCCAATGGTCACCCTGCTACACTTCACCCACCCCCTGTGGCTGGAAGACCGGGGGGGGTTCGAGGACAGCGCTTCCCCGGCGGCGTTCGTGGCGTTTTCTCGGCGAATGTTTCGAGAATACGGCGGGAAGGTTAGTAGTAGTAGAATAACCCCCCCACGTATCAATCGCGTGATGATGTGGCACGTGAAACGTCCCCCACGCATCAAATATTCTCATGGCCCGTGTAGATACCGGTGTCCAGCCGCGACGGTTCTCGGCGTGCCACTGGCCATACTTCTGTTAGCAAAGCGTGTCTGCTTTCTTTGGTTTTCGGCGTGATTTTCGGAAGGGAGTAGGGGTTGGGCACGGTTGGAATATAAAGTGTTCAGTACAGGGCGGGTAGTTTCCGTCCTGCGCTTCCATTCGTACGGACTTTGTTTATTGAGCTGCAGGGTTTGTCTGTGTCTACACTAGTTCGTCCTCGTTAGGGATCGCTCGATTGCTCAGCAGCCCATGGCATGTGCCAAGCGGTATGCCGATACCATTCTCGGGAAGCTACCGACGAACCTGCTGTGCTTATTTTCTGGTAGATAATATGCTTACAGTACAACCAAAGAAAGACCATGTACCCGTTCGAGATGTAACCGCATGCATTTGTTCTCCCAAGGCCACTTATGGAGCTGGTAAGACGGTTCCTATCTTGCGGAGGCGTTCGGCCTGTACAACGAGAAAAACGCCTCGACAGGGGGGGCTTGGCATGTGCCAACCAAGACTTGCGTCGGCAACACGGCTTGGTCACCAAGCACACTAGGAGATCAGCCCCGTTTTGCCAATGAAATGACCACCTTGTGCAAAAATAGTTCAAATTCAGTCGACGATAGTGTTGCCTTTTTTTTGTCAGGTAACGCTCTCGTGCACCATCAACGACTCCAGGGCGGCAAAACAATAAAACCCTAATACATGCGTAGACCTGGGAGCTGCTCTTAGTTCTTCCGCTCACAAAAAACCATCAGTTTTTTTCTTTCGTTTCTTTTCTTGCAGGTGTCGCTCTGGTGCACCATCAACGAGCCGGAGGTGTGCACGGCGAACGGGTACGCGATCGGCATGTTCCCCCCGGGGAAGCTCGCGGCGCTGCAGAAGTCGGGGATCGTTCTGGGGAACCTTCTCAAGGCTCACGTCGAGGCGAGTAGAGAAAACCAAACCCCAACCCAAACAGCATGGAACATATTTTTTTCTATGGACATTAACGAGAAAAGATGAATTGAAGACCAAACGTGGGCCACAGAATACGCCCGCACTGAAGAACCTCTAGTTTTATCCGAGGCTACTATATGGTAGTTCCCTTGTGGGCTACGAATGCCCTTTGCATAAGTTTTTGTGTATGGGTGCATATCCAGACTCACGAACGGTGCTCAACTTCAAATGTTTGACATATGGCTGAGCACGAAGCGCTTAACTGCCAATGGCGATGTTTCCACCTGTTTCTTAGGAATAATATTCTTCTTTTTTTGCTTTGGTGATGGGGAACGAACCGGCAAGAGTTCCGCCGCTCTCGGATGCATTGATGCAAGCATGGCAGGAAGGAAGGAGTGAAAATATCCAAGCACACGTGCGGATCGTACGCCTCATCGCTCGGGGGAAGGAGGGAGCGGGGGGGGTTCGCAAGTACTGACACACAGTGTGAAAATGAAATAAAAACGCCACCAAAAAATTAAACAGGTGTACATCGCTCTACACGAGGAAGCGGCGGCCTTGGGCAGGGAAGTCGAGGTCGGTATCGTGAAGGATCTGTTCCAGTTCCACCCCTACCGGTGGTATAACGTCCTCGACCACCTCCTCGCCTGGCTTTGCGACAAGCTATTCAACCAGGTTGGGGATGAGGATTGTTGTCTTGAATGTTATTGTTGTTGGCGTTGGTGTTTGTGTTGTTGTTGTTCGACAAACTCTTCAACCAGGTGGGGGAAGGGGATTGGTGTCTTCGAGTTTGTCATTGGTGATGGTGGTGGTATTGGTGGTATTGGCGGTATTATCATATTGGTGTGGTGGATGCGGTTGTTGATGTTTCCTTGCTTGAGTTCGCGCACCCACATAATACGCACGCCGTTTTGATCAGTGTGACTGTTCAGGGTGTATGTATCGACTTTTATCGATTGTTTCTTTCTCCCTTTTTCTATTCGTGCGTAACATGTACTCCGAGGCTTTTCGTGGTGCCTGTGACCACGGAACGTGTCCGCGCCAGTTGAACCAGTGCGAGTGTCCCAAGGTACTGCACAGGGATCGAAAGGTTTTTCAGCTGCACTACGTCACACACCAACCAAAACTACAACCACAACAATTACAGCTGCAGCAGCAGCAGCAGCAGCAGCAGCAGCAACAGCAACAGCAACAGCAGCAACAGCAACAACAACAACAACAACAACAACAACAACAACAACAACAACAACAACAACAATAACAACTGCAGCAGCAGCAGCAGCAGCAGCAGCAACAACAACAACAACAACAACAGCAACCACAACAATAACAACAGGAGAAGGAACGACAACAACAACAATGCCTCTGACTCGTGTTTGCGGTCCCTCGCCTTCCCAGGTGATCATCGAGTTTTTGAAGACTGGGCGGTACCGCTGGTGGGTACCATTCTGCGCTTCCGTTCGCTTCACGGACGGACGGGCCCCCAAGGCGAACGACTTCGTAGGCCTTAACTACTACAGGTGGGTTTCCTCGCGAAGAGGCGTGTCTTCTCCGTCGGGTTTTTTCCTCGGTCGGGGG